GGGCAGTGCATGCACTCAAGGCAGGGCCCGCCTGCTGCCTTTGCGAAGCCCAACCTTTAAGACTGAACTCAGTGTCCTCCTTTTGAGGTTGCTAAATTCAACTCGGAACCCCCTCCTGGGCAGGCTGGAGGCCGCTTCTCAGGCGGGAGATGCGTTGCCAGCTGGGCCTCTGCTGCCTAGCAACCCCCAGAGCAGCCGGGTGGGGCTGTCAGCAGAGGTGCTCTTGGGTTTGGGGAACAAATCCCCAGCTAGGCCCAGGAAAGGGAGGGAGAGAAGTTTGAAGAGAAAATTCTAACCATAGAATAAAATATGGTCCCTTCCTGAGACAGGACTAGAAAAGACACTTTGGAGAGAATGACATACACCATTGAGACCCCCATGAGTCCTGGCAGATACAAAGAGAATAACCACCCACTTTTTTGGGGGGAGGATCCAGTCATGGGGCCTGAACTCTGGGCCCGGGCGCTGTCCCTCAGCTCTTCAGCTCAAGACGAGCGCTCTACCGCTTGAGCCACAGCACCACTTTTGGTTTTCTGGTGGTTTATTGAAGATAACAATCTCACAGACTTTCCTGACGGGCAGCTTTGACTCAATCCTCAGATCTCAGCTCCTGAGTAGCTAGGATTACAAGTGTGAGCCACCAGTGCTGGTTGCTGCTGCTGCTTCTCCTCCTTTTTTTCTTCGACGTCTTCCTCCTTCTCCTCATCTTCCTTCTTGTCAGTCCTCGGGCTTGAACTCAGGCCTGGGCACAGTCCCTGAGCCTCTCTGTGCTCAATGTCAGTGCTCTTCCACTTGAGCCACAGCACCACTTCCAGCTGTTTCTGAGTGGTTTATTGGAGGTAAGAGTCTCACAGACTTTCCTGCCTGGGCTGGCTTTGGGCTGTGATCTTCAGATCTCAGCCTCCTGAGCAACTAGGATTATACAGGCGTGAGCCACCAGCACCCAGCCCTCCTTTCCTTCATAAAAGGCTGGTGCAGTACCACTTGAGTCACACCTTCACTTCCAGCTTTTTGCTGGTTAGAGATGAACCTTTAGGATTTGTCTGCCTAGACCCAATGCCAGCCGAGGCACACAAGTCCAAGAGACTCTCATCCCCAATTAATGAGCAAAAAGCCAGAAGTGGAGGTATGGATCAAGTGCTAAAGCACCAGCCTTGAGTGAAAAAGCTAAGCAAGAGCATGAGGTCCTGAGTCCAAGCCTCAGTACTGGCACGATTAATTAAAATAAAAATGAACAGAGGTGGGACACTGGCCGCTCATACCTGGACTTTCATTTGGGCACAGAGATTTACCTGTCCTGCCCGACAGAAGGCAGGAAGCTGCACCAGAGTCCTCAAGAAAGCAGGAGACAAGGCCACCGAGATGCTGCTGCTAACCCTTCTCTGCCCTTCCTTTCCCTTCCCTTTTTCCTTCCTTCCTTCCTCCCTCCCTCCCTTCCTTCTTTCCTTCCTTCCTTCTTCTCTCCCTCCCTCCCTCCTTCCTTCTTTCTTTCCTTCCTTCCGTTTTGGGGTTTGAATCAAGGCCTCATACACTAAGCGAATACTCTATTAAGCTACTTCTAGCCTGTATCTGTGTGTATCTGTATATCTATATATGTGTGTATTTTCTATTTTTTCCTTTCTTGCCCCCCCCCTCTTTTTTTTTGTCAGTTGTTAGGCTTGAACTCTGGGCCTGGGCACTGTCCCTGAGCTCTTCAGCTCAAGGCTAGCTCTCTACCACGTTGAGCCACAGCACCACTTCAGTTCTGGTAGTTATTTGGAGATAAGTGTCTCATGGACTTTCCTGTCCAGGCTGGCTTTGAACCTTGATCCTCAGGTATCTCGGCGTCCTGAGAAGCTGTGATTACAGGTGTGAGCCACTGCCACAGCTCCCTTCCATTCTTCTCTTTTCTTTCCTTCTTCCTCTTCCCGGCCCCCATTCCTTCCTTTGTTCCTTCTTATTCGTTTAAGCAGAGCTGGCAGAGGCTGGCAGATGATGGGGGAATTGGGTGGCCACTTGCTGCTGGTGCCAGGCCCTGCGCTGATCGTTATCGCGGTGAAGCAGCTGTCTCTAGGGGCCTCCAAATCCCTGGAGAGCACACGCCCGCTGAAAACACCTGTGGCTAGGAGAGCGCGCCTCCACCTGAGGACACAGGTGTCTGGGAGATCTGTTTAGATTACATCACCGTAAAGACCGCTGAGACTGGGTTTGCGGAGGATGAGCAAAAAAAAGAAAGAAAAAAGTGGGGGAGATTGATGGGCCAGGGTAGTGGCCAATGCCCGGGACCTCAGTGATCCCAGGTGCTCAACGGCTGAGGGAGGAGCAGGTGAAAGGTCAGCAGGACCTAAATGAAAAAATGAAGCAGCAGCAAGCCGGGCATGGCAGCTCACGTGTGCGGCGCAGCTGCTTGCTCCGGGAGGCCCTGGCAGGAGGGCTGCACGCCGAGGCTGACCTGAGCAAAAAGGAAAAACAACAATGCACAAGCACGGGGCCGTGGTTCAGTGGTGGACCTGGCACCGCCTCGCAAGCACGGGGCCCTGAGTTGAAATCCCGGTGCCCCGTACTGCCCGGACACACGAGTAAGAACGTACAAGAACAATGATGTTTTAAGTTCCCTCATTCGGTGACTCCAGATAATGAAGACTCCTGGTCCAAAACCGGAGAGGGCTAGATTTGAGCGGGGTGTGTGTGTGTGTGGCTGGATTTGAGCGGGGTGTGTGTGTGTGTGTATGTGTGTGTGGGGGGGGTATGTGTATGTGTGTGTGTGCGTGTGTGTGTGAAGCGGGCGCAGACTCTGCCAGGCGAGGTCTCCACAGCTCTCCCGGGAGCACGGCAGACGCTGGCATGTGTGGAGAGCGACGCTCCGCCAGCGCTGTGTTGCTTGTTCAGTCTTTTTCTTTTTCTGTTTGTCGGTGGTGGGGCCTGCACTCTGGGCCTGGGTGCTGTCCTTCAGCTCAAGGCTAGCGTGCTATCACTTGAGCCACAGCGCCCCTTCCAGCTTTTTCTGTGTATGTGGTGCTGAGGAATCCATCAAACCCAGAGTGTCATGCTTGCAAGGCAAGCACTCTACCACTGAGCCACCTTCCCAGCCCTGTTCTGCCTTTATTCAATCCGTATAACCAGCCTAAGATCTGTTCCAGGAGGAAGCTGAGGTTTCGGGGCTCAGCCGCAGGGCATAGGTAGGTATTAAGCAGGAGAGGGAGTGGCCTGGGCCCTGGGCTTCCAGCAGACACCAGGCCAACAGGCTCCTTGCTCCACACCGGGGAGAAGAGGAGGAGGCCGTCAGGGGCTGCTAAGTAGTTCTGGTTTGTCTACTCCCCGCCCTTCCTGGAGTACTGGGGTTTGAACTCAGGACCCTGGGTTTGCTAGGCAGGTGCTTTACCACTGGGTTCCACATTTAGCTCTTTTTTTTTGCTTTTATCTTTTTGAATGGAGTCTCATTGTCTGTGCTGGCCTGTACTGTGAGCCTTCCAGTTATACTTCCCTAGAGCTGGGATGACAGATGCATACCACGGCACCCAGAGTTTGTTTTTTTTTACTGATTGAGATGGGGTACCTCAAACTTTTGCCCAGGCTAGCCTGGAAACAGGATCCTCCCAATGTCAGCCTCCTGAGTAGCTGGGATTACAGGCATGAGTCACCATGCCCAGCTAATCCACAAGTTCTTGATCTTGAAGTAGCATATGTGGATCATGAGGCCAGCCAACCAGAGTTCCCTTTTCAAAGGCACACTCCAATGTATTCTTATTGTTCCAAGTCTGTCTCTGTGTCTTGATGCACGAGCTCTTCTGTCCAGAGTAATCTTGGGCTTCCTCGATGAACGTGAGAACCAGGAGCGTGGCCACCCTAGGTGCTGTCCCATCAGCACTGCGTCTGGTCCCCTTCCTAGCGGATTCACCTGGCACCAAGAGTCCTCAAGGCAGCCGCTTCTGCCCATGTGATTGGTCAGATGGAGAGTGAGGATGCCACATTTAACCAATGAGGCCCCCGACTGGTGTCCAGGCTACTACCAGGTTGGAAGGGTTCAAGTTAGGTGAGAATTTTCTACTCCCTAAAATGGCTCAGGAGCGCGCGTGCGCACGCGCGTGCGTGTGTGTGTGTATGTGTGCGCGCGTGCGTGTGTGTGTGTTGGTACTGTGGCATAGACTCAGAGCCTCAGCTCTCATGTGGCTTTTTTGCTCAAAGCTGGCATTCTGCCACTTAAGCCACAGCTCCGGCATTTTGCTGGCTAATTGGAGAGAAGAGTGTCATGGCCTTTCCTGTGCAGGCTGGTGTTGAACTGCAATCCTCAGATCTCAGCCTTCTGAGTAGCTGACTGGCATGATCCACCAATACTTGGTCTGTGCTAGTTTTGAGGACAAAAATACCACTGTTAACTTATTCATGTCCCCAGGTGTGTCTGGAGCTGGGCGCAGCCCCTGTTTTTGCCTACTGCATGTTTTGAAGCCCAGCAGAGTGTGAGGCTTGCAGAGCAGCCGTGCGTGTTCACGAGGGAACGTGAACCGGCCTCCCCTGGGCAGGGCTCCAGGTGCCGCACGGGGCTCTGGCTGCTTCTGCATTCTCTCGGGCAGTGAAGCGTGGCGGGCAACGCTCAGCAGAGCCGCTGCACACCGCTGCTTCAGTGTTTTGCTGAGAAAAAGCCCCAGTCAGTGGCCCTCAGGATCCCAGGGCAGGCAGCCCGGCTCCCAGCCTCATGCCCCGCAGGGCGGCTCTCCACTGGGTCTCTTCAGGGCCCTGTGCCACTCCGGGGACCGGAAAGAGGCCACTAATCACCATTTCCCTGCAGCACCGGCTGAGGCGCCTCTGGGCCGTGCAGAGCCCCTGCAGGCCGGGCCTCATCAGAGGAGGCCGGAGCAGGCCGGGTAGCCAGACACGCTGAGTCCAGCTGCCAGGGCTGGACTTGCCTCCGCCCACTTTTCTATTTCAGAAACATTGGAATGTCCAACTTTGCAAATTCCTTTGCTTAACAGAAAATTTCTTTTAATGTCTAAATGCTGCACGCATTAGCGCAGGGGCTGGGAAATGCAGCTAAGTGCAGCTAAAGCAATGCTTTTAGAAAGCACATATGTATGTGTCCGAGTACATGTGCACGACACACGACACACACACAAGTCCTTGGTGCTTCAAACATCCCTCATGACTTCATTGATCACGTTGTCTCCCATTGTCTGAAATGGTTAGGCCAAGAATATCAGTGGTGAATATTTCTGCCGTGATTTCGTCTGGAAGTTCTTCCTCATAGCAAATTTGTGAACCTAGCCCCCAAAAAGAAAACAAAAACAAATGCTTTCCCAATGATTAGGCTTCTAATTCAGAAGGAGCTAATAACTATACACAAATAAGAGGTGTCTGCTACAGTCTGCCTTTGACTTCTTGAAAACTTCTGGGTAGAAAGAGGTTCAAACCCCTATCTCTGGTGATGAGGCATCTTTAATAAGATCTCCGAAAGCCTCAACCACGTGGTAGCCACGGTTCTACTGTTTTGAGATGTTTAGAAACCCAGTGTAAGCCGGGCGCTGGTGACTCACGCCGTCATCCTAGCTACTCAGGAGGCTGAGATCTGAGGATCTCAGTTCAAAGCCAGCCTGGGCAGGAAAGTCCATGAGACTCTAATCTCCAATAAACTATCAGAAAACAGAAATGGCGCTGTGGCTCAAGTGGTAGAGTGCTAGCCTTGAGCTGAAGAGCTGCGGGACAGCGCCCAGGCCCAGAGTTCAAGCCCCACGACTGACAAAAATAAAATAAAATAAAGTGAGGGAGCAGAGAGACAGGCGAGGAACTTGGGCTCCCGACAGTCAGCCCATCCTCATATGTCAGTGTAGCTGTTCCAGTCTAGGTAGGACTAGAAGCGATACCTGGCTTGGTCACATCCCCACCGAGCTAGAAAAGAAAGTGTAACATCCTTAGGTGACAACAAGGAGGCGAGATGGAAGCCAGGCTTTGCCGGAGCCAGGCCTGGCTCTTATACAGCCACACCCACGCAGATGACCCTGAGAACCGGAAAGGTATCAAGCACTGGCGGCTCATGCCTGTAATCCTAGCTGTTCAGAGGCTGAGATCTGAGGATCGTGGTTCAAAGCCAGTACAAGCATGAAAGTCCATGAGAGTCTTTTTTTTTTTTTTTTGGCTGTGGGGCGCTGTCCCTCAGCTCTTCAGCTCAAGGCTAGCGCTCTACCACTTGAGCCACAGCTTTTTTCTTTTCGCTTATGTGGTGCTGAGGAATTGAACCCAGGGCCCCAGGCATGCAAGGCAAGCGCTCTACCACTGAGCCACCCTCCCAGCCCTCCATGAGATTCTTATCTCCAATGAACCACCCAAAAGCCAGAAGTGGAGCTGTGGCTCAAGTGGTATAGCACCAGCCTTGAGCCAAAAGGCTAAGAGATAGCACCCAGGGCCTGACATCAAGCCCTAGTACAGGCAAAAAAAAAAACAAAACAAAACACAAAACACAAAAAACAACCCCAAATTGTAAAGTTCTAGCAGCTTGAAGTTGGGGTTTGTGCCACCACTGAATCGTTGCCCATTACCCTTGTCTTGTGAACGCATTGTTACCCTGTCCCCTCCGCCATGGCTGATGCCACCGTCAAGGCAGAGAGGCGCAGGTGGTGGAACGGGTGGAGGGTGAAGGACGCGCGCTGCACTAGAACCAAAGGCCTCATCTTGCAGACTTGACCACCCCTCGCTGGCCTGTCATGACTCACCCAGGTAAGATCCCAGCAGACCGAATGGGCTGTATGCTTGGTCCTAAGGACCGTGGCTGGTCACTCATGAGGGGGGTGCATGACCCGTACCTGTAAGGGAGGAGGCTGTAGGCTCCGATTTCCACCCCTCAGGGTTCAGGCCGTACAATGTAGCGAAGCAGTCCGACATCTCCTCCTCGGTCATGTGCTCACCTGGGGACCCCGGGGGAGAATGGTAGCTGCTTAGATTACTGTCAGAATTGAGCAGTATCATTCTAAGATGTGTGTGTGCGTGTGTGTGTGCATGTGTGCGTGTGTGTGCATGCGTGCGTGTGCGCACATGCACATCCTGTACTGGGGCTTGAACTCAGGGCTTTGTGCTGCCTTTTAGCCTTTTTGCTCAGGGCTGACTCTCTACTACTGGAGCCACAACTTCACTTCTTGCTTTTTGCTGGTTGATGGGCCATAAGAGTTTTCTGCTCAGGCTGGTTTTGAACAAGGATTCTCAGATCTCAGTCTTCTGCATAGCTAGGATTACAAGTATGAGCCGCTTCAGTCTCTGGCTTGTTTGGAGGTCTTAAAGAGAATGATTCCCTTACCCTTATCTCCTTTTCTCTTCTTTTCTTTTCTTTGTCGGTCGTGGGGCCTGAAGTCTGGGCCTGGGTGCTGTCCCTCAGCTCTTCAGCTCAAGGCTAGCGCTCTACCACTTGAGCCACAGCGCCACTTCTGGCTTTTTTCTTTTTTCTTATGTGCTGCTGAGGAACCGAACCCAGGGCCTCAGGCATGCAAGGCAAGCGCTCTACCACTGAGCCGCCTTCCCAGCCCCGTACCTCCTTTTCTTTACACACCAAAGCAACATACCTAGAGAGTCCCACGTGACTGCCCCATTATTTCTTTGTATGGTATTAAAGTGTAATCCAGCCAGGAGAATTTGCCTGGGCCCCTAGGGACCTACAGAACACGCCAGTGTGACAGAGATGAACCTGTCCCCTGCAGCTGTGAGGAGAATGATAGGTTAAAAATATTGTTTTACAAGGCTGGGCACCAGTGGCTCACGCCTGTCATCCTAGCTACTCAGGAGGCTGAGATCTGAGGACTGCGGTTCAAAGCCAGCCCAGGCAGGAAAGTCCATGAGACTCTTATCTACAATAAACCACCAGAAAACTGGAAGTGGCGCTATGGCTCAAGTGGTAGAGGGCTCGCCTTGAGCTGAAGAGCTCAGGGGGAGTGCCTAGGCCCAGAGTTCAAGCCCTGTGCCCGACAAAACAAAATTACAAGCCAGCACCAGTGGCTCGTCTGCAATCCTGGCTATTTAGCTGACTGAGAGCTGAAGACCATGATCCAGAGGCAGCCCAGGCAGGAAAGTCCAATAAACTACCAAAAAGCCAGAATGGAGGCATGGCTCAAGTGGTAGAGTGCTACCCTTCAGCAAAAGAAGCTCAGGGTCAGCGCTGAGGCCCTGAGTTCAAGCCCCAGGACCAGCACACACAAAAATAAAAACTTTATAAGCTGACTTTGGAGTAGTTTTCATCACACAGCCATCTTATAGCAGTCCCTGGAGATGGGGAAGGGGCGCTGTGTCCCCATGTCACAAATGAGGACCTGAGACGCGGGCAGTCAGGAGGCCGGGACATGGGTTGTAGTTTTCTGGTTTCTACATTAGGGTTATTCCCACTGCCCTTGCCCTTGGCCAGATACCCAGCTGCTGAGCGTGTCCCTTGTGGCTGAAAGCCTGCCACCACACCTGCCCCTCCCCCGGGCTGCCTGACTCAGGTCTCTCCGGGGTGGTTCCCAGATCTCCTGGCTCAACCGTGTACCTTTGGTAAGGAGCAGCCTCAGGAAATCCTCTCTCCGAATGGCCTTCTCTCCGAGAGAATTGGTGTAGCCAAGCACGTCAAAGCTCTGCTGGATGCTGCTCATGGTGTTCCCAAAAGGCGGCCTGTGATTCAGGTAAACTTTGAAGAAGTCTGGTAAGTTGATTTTGTCAATGAGCTTTCCCGTTTCCACGTATTCACTAAACTTGATCTCGTTGAACATGTCGTCGATCTAGGGAAAAGATTGAGGGAGGAATAAAAAGATCATTCTATACAGAACACAGTTTTCATACCTGTTAAGATTGCCGAGCTTAGGATGTGTCTATGACAGGTCAGATTGTGTCCCCCAGTTAGGATACGGTGGCTCACGCCTATAATCCTAGTTACTCAGGAGTCTGAGATCTGAGGATCCCTTCAAAGCCAGCCCAGGCAGGAATGTCCCTGAGACTCTTATCGCCAATTAACCAATAGAAAACTGGGAGTGGTGCTGTGGCTCAAGTGGTAGAGCGCTGGCCTTGAGCTGAAGAGCTCAGGAACAGTGCCCAGGCCCAGAGTTCAAGCCCCAGGACTGACAAAAATAAAAAGTCTCACGGACTTGCCTGCCCAGGCTGGCTTCATCTGGGAACCTCAGATCTCAGCTTCCTCAGGATGAAAAGCAAGAGCCACCAGCACCTGACTAAATTTCTGTTATTTTAGCATGTACTAGACCCTGGCCGAGACCAGTTAAAGCCTTAGCATCTAAAAGAACAAGAAAACAAACTTTGTTGTTTTATGCCACCCAGTTTGTAGTTCGTTCACTTTCTCTTTCTTTCTTTCTTTTCTTTCTTTCTTTCTGTCTGTCTGTCTTTCTAGAATTCTCTCTTTCTTTCTCTTTCTGTCTTTCTTTCTTTCTTTTTCTCTTGCTTGCTTGCTTGCTTGCTTCCTTTCTTTCCTTTTCTTTTTTTCTTTTTTAAAGACAGGTTGGTGGTCTGTAGCCCAGCTGGCCTGGAATTAGAATGGTTCTGGCTGCCTGCCCCCGCCTCGCAGTACTGGGTTTATAGGTGTGTACCACCATAGCCGGATTACTACAAAATACTCTGTATCTCTGATGGATTATACGTAACACGCACATATATAATTTATAAGGTTTCTGTTTTGTGTAGTAGTACTGAGTTTTTACTCAGTACCTCCTGCTTGCTAGGCAGGTGCTCTATTGCTAAGCTATGCCCTGAGGCCATTTGTATTGTGGTACCAGGCCCTGGGCTTTAACTCAGGGCTCTAAGCTTTTTGGCTCAAGGCTAGCTAGTACTTTACCACTTGAGTCACACCTCTATTTCCAGCTTAATTGGAGATCTCAAGGGCTTTCCCTGGAACCAAGATCTCAGACTTCTGAGTAGCTAAGATTACAGGCTTGAGCCGCCATCACCTGGCCCCTCTGCCCTTTTTCATGTCCATTTGTTTTTCATTTTAGATAGGGCATCAGGCTCTTGCCTGTTCTAGCCCCAGTCTGAGGGTCTCCTGCCTCCATCTCTCAAGTAGCTGGGACCACAAGTGTGAACGACCACATCCATCTTCTTTTTTGAGACAGTGTCTCTATAACTCAGCCCCTTATCTGTGCTTCCTCAGTAGCTAGGATCACAGGTTTGTGCCAATGTCCAACACTGGCACCTAAGTGACAACAGCCAACAGTCATTGAAAAGATTGACAAAATTGACATTTAGCTAGATTCACCAAGAGGTAAAGAGAATCAACTTGCTAAAATCAATCATGAAGAATGTGACATCAGTAGAACTCTGAAAGAAAACTATGAAAAGTTAGATGATTTAGATGAAATGAATCACTTCCTCGAAAGATAAAAATGGCCAAAATCTCCAGAGTTCAAGGCCCAGAACAAACCAAAGAAACAAATGACTAAAACTTAACTCAGGCAGAAACAGAACATTGGAATAAGAAGGGACTGGGAGGGGCTGGGACGGTGGCTCAGTGGTAGAGTACTTGCCTTGCATGCAAGAGGCCCTGGGTTCAATTCCTCAGCACCACATGAGCAGAAAAAGCCAGAAATGGCATTGTGGCTCAAGTGGTAGAGTGCTAACCTTGAGTTGAAGAGCTGAGGGACAGCGCCCAGGCCCAGAGTTCAGGCCCTACGACCACAAAAAAAAAAAAAAAAAGGGACTGGAGATGTGGCTTAATGGTAGAGTGCTTGCCTAGCATGCATGAAGCCCTGGGTTCCATTCCTCAGTACCACATACACAGAAAAATGGTGCTGTGGCTCAAGTGGTAGAGTGTTAGGCTTAAGCAAAAGAAGCTCAGGGACAGTGCCCAGGCCTTGAATTCAAGTCTCAGGGCTGGCAAAAAAAAAAAAAAAAGGACCTGGAATAAGAAGAGATTGAGAGCCAAGAATGTGCATGAAGCTTTTTTTTTTTTTTTTGTCAGTCAAGGGGCTTGAACTCTGGGCCTAGGTGCTGTCTTTCAGCTCTTCAGCTCAAAACTAATGCTCTACCTCTTGAGCCACAGTGCCACTTCTGGTTTTCTGAATGGTTTATTGGAGATAAGAGTCTCGTGGCTTTTCCTGCCCAAGCTGGCTTTGAACCACGATCCTTGATCCTCAATCCACGATCCTCGGATCTCAGCCTTCTGAGTAACTAGGATTACAGGCGTAAGCCACCAGTGAGGCTTGTGAGACTTTTATCTTCAATTAACCACCAGAAAACCAGAAGTGACTCTTATCTCCAATGAACCACCAAAAAACTAGAAGTTGTACTGTGGCTCAAGTGGTAGAACACTAGCCTTGAGCTGAAGAGCTCAGGGACAGTGCCCAGGTCCAGAGTTCAAGCCACATGAGAAAGAAAGAAAGCAAGCAAGCAAGAAAGAAAGAGAGAGAGAGAGAGGGAGGGAGGGAGAGAGAGAGAAAGAAAGAAAAAGAAATTGAATGACCAAGTTGAAAACCCTCTGCAAAGAAAAGCCAAGGACCAGATGGCTTCCCTTGTAGATTCTACCAAGTATTTAAGAAGACCAATTTTCTACAAATTCTCCCCAAAAACCCTGTAAGACCCATATTACCCTAAAACCCCAAACAGACAAAGACACTCTGAGAAAACTAATAGACCAAGATCTCTTATGATTTTGGATGTGAATATCCTCAACAAAATGCAAACAGTCTGAGCTCAGCAACATACAAAGAGCGTTAGCCCCCCCACTGGCCAACATGCGATGTAGCCCAGGAATTCAAGGTTGATTCAACCAGCACACCTTATGATAATAGAACAAGGACAAAAATCAAAGGACAACTAGATAGAGGGGAGGAAAAACATTTGACGAAACTCTAAACAGCCTTTCATCATAAAAACACTCAACGAGTGCGGCCGGAAGCTTCTTCCTCCCTGGAGGATGGGCGTGTGTGAGAACCACAGCTGCCTGTATCTAATGATGAGGACCAGGACATCTCCTCCTGCCACTTCTACTCAACACTGCACTGAAGCTGCTACCCAGGGACGTTCAACCAGTATCCAGATTTAAAAGGAATAAGTAAAACTATCTTTCTTTTTGGTTACTAGCAGGTGACGGGTGTTACCCCACCGCCACCCTTAGAAGGCTGGCCCATGGGGTGCTTTGTTTTTGTGGTAGACCCTTGCTGTGCAACCAAGTGCTCTGCTACTGACCTATGCCCCCTGCTGGTCACCTGATGAGGAACTGCTGTAGAAAACAACTTGGATGTTCACTCAAATTAAAGAGTTTCCACAGGAGCCAGTGATCTCCCTCCTGGTCCATGACTAACAGAAATGAAAATATACTCATACACAAATTAGCAAATTCGGACATGCATATTCATAGTCGAATTATCATAACACTGTGAAGTAGAAGCAACCCCAACGTCTGTCAGCTGACACATGAGACTCGAAGGTAGTGCATTTGTGCAGGGGATGTTATTCTCCTATCAAAAAAGAATGAGCCACTGCAGTATGCTACCGCGGGGATTGGCCTAGAGAATATACCTGGTAATAGATTATGCCACGGGGAAAGAGCCAGTCACACAAAAACACCACATGACTTCATGGACAGGAATTATCCAGACAGACAAATCCATCCACAGTGACAGAATGGAAAGCAGTGGTGGCCATGTCTGGCAAGGAGGGCTGGAAGGAAGCAGGGGTGGTGATAGTGCATTACAGGCTTTCTTTTGTGGATGATAAAATGTGTCTGGGCGCTAGGGGCTCACGCCTGTCATCTTAGCTACTCAGGAGACTGAGATCTGAGGATCGTGGATTAAAGCCAGGCAGGAAAGTCCGTGAGAATCTTGTCTCTACTTAACTACTCAGAAAAAGCTGGAAGTGGGGCTGTGGCTCAAGTGGTAGAGGGCTAGCCTTGAGCACAGAGGGGCTCAGGGACAGTACCCAGGCCTGGAGTTCAAACCCCAGGACCTGCCCCCACCCCACCCCACCCCCCAAAAAGAAAAGAAAAGATGAAAGTGGATGGTGCTAGTGGTAGTGGCACAATTCTGTTAATATACTAAAATCTACTCAGTCAGACAGCCTGGCGGGGGGGCTGTGCACATGCTAGTCGCGGGTGTGTGTATGTGTGTGTGTGTGCGCGCGCGCGTGCACATGTTAGTCCCGGGGCTTGAACTCAGGGTCTGAGCACTGTCCCTTAGCTTTTTCACTCAAGGCTAGCATTCTACCACTTGAGCCACAGCTCCACTTCGGACTTAATTGGAGGTAAGTCTCACAGATTTTCCTACTTGGGTTGGCTTCCAACTGCAACCCTCAGATCTCAGCCTCCTGAGCAGCTGGGATTACAGGCGTGAGCCACTGGTACTTGGCAAGTGCATGGGCCCTGTTTCTCAGTGGCTCTGTGATCCTCTCTCTTCCCTGAGAACTCGGGGGACCCGTAGGGGGCCCCACCTTGTGGCATCCCTCTGGTTCTCAGCAGGGAAGAGGCCCCTGTGTCTCCCACCCTGGCCACCTCCTGCCCGATCGCCTGGAGGCCACAACCTAGGGAGCCGCAGTCAATGCTACTGACCTGCTCGCTTTAAAATGGCAGATTTTATATTATGTGAAGTTCATCTCCAGCACTGCATAAAAATACAAAATAAATACGATGCAAACTATAATTAAAATAAACCCTGGCGCCGGCTGTGGTTTTCAGCAGCGCAATGGCAGCTGCCACCGGGACGCGGCAGCTCTGAGCTCACATCTGCCGCCTCTAGCAGCTCTAGCTGCTGTCTTCAATCTCTGTTTTCTTGGCTGCTGAGTTCAG